GCCAATTGTGTCTCTTACTGCTCTGTACTGTACGCACTCGCGGCCATACGTCTGTGTTTTCATTAAAGCCACTTCGATGTTTACTCGCGGTGCTGTCTTTATTTCTCGCGCGCACTTTTAATAAAATATAGCCGAGAAATAAAATTTAAAAAAAACAGAGCCGTATCATCGACACGCCACACGCGCGAGCGAGTAGCTGTCGGCACCAATCTAAATACGTCGCGGTATATGTGTATTAAAACGCGTCTTTTTAAATCACGTGCCGCTTATTACATACACATAAACCGCACGACCGATAACACGTTTCTGTCTTGGTAGAGCTGCACCGATCTCTGACTCGAGCTCGAAAAAAAGCCCATTCATCGAAATCAATTACACCGACGCAGCAGCAGAGAGATAGATAGGAAATGTAGATAGGAGGCAACGAGCTTTTCGGATGATTTATGATGTATTCGTCGTTGAAATTTTCATGCTCGCGTGTCAGCGCGTAGTATGAAATTGAAATATATCTTTCGCGAGAATTGGTTTATCTCATCAAAGTCGCGGTCGGAGTCGTGGAGAGATAACCTGCCATGTTACAGTATAGTATCTGCCTTTGGATTCAATTATACATTATAACGTCACTTACAGAACTATGCGTGACACGCGCAGCTCTTATACTACTACGACTATCTCAATGTAAGTAGCGAAATACCTAACATCTCCCTTGTGATGTGAAATTCTCGCGTCCCCCTTGAGAATCTACAACAACCATATTGCACGTTTAAAAGTACACAATATTGCGCACATATAGGCTCTAAATAAAGCGAGAGGGACAGAGATTTTAAAGCGATGATCGCGAACAGGTATACGTATCGTGTAGTAATGGGGGGAGGATCGAAGTCTCTTATACATTAGACACCTGTCTCATCCTGACAATCGATGGAGAAAAAAATCGCTCACGAGCAGAGATTCCCACAGCAGATTCGCGGAACGCGGCTTTTAATAATTTACGAAGGCGATTCCGATTTTTCGCGATCCGTTGTGTACGATCGTACATCGATTAAGCATTCCATCAGTCATGTAGCGTTAAAAGTAACAAATAAACATGTATATATTTTTGTACCGAGCGTGCTGAGTGAAATTTTCATTTTCGTCTCGTCTTTACAAAGGCTCACGCACCGAAGAAGGCCTCTTACTGACACATGCGTACGTGAACCATGACTTGAAACTTTGCTTTCAGCACGAGGTTCAAGAAGAAGCGCAAAATGATGAAGAAGAAGAAGAAGAGAAGAAAAAAACGTCCGCCTCGCACGCTCGAAAAATCAGCAACCATTGTTGCGAGCACCCCCGTAGAGCGAGGAAAACCTCTTCTTCTTTTCGCGCGCGCGAGGGAGAGATGAGCATCGTCAGCAGCAGCTCGTCCGTGTCTGCACATCGATCCTTACGGATTATTTTGCCCATTATTATATGCCGTTGTTGTTGCTGTTCAGTGTGCGTCGCTGCTGTGCAAGAGCTCATTTCTCTTCTTCTTCTTCTCCTCTTGATCTCTGCGTATATACAATGTGTGTAGTATAACGCATATAAACACACACGCATACGCACACACCAACAAACAAACAAACAACACGCATGAGGTAAACCTGTCCTTTATATGTGTATAGCCGTGCGTGCCTCGATCATTTGCGCGTTGGACCTTCTATACTGCTGTGCTGCTGCTACCTTTTATGCGTGGGACGCGTTTATCCAGGTGCCCTGTTACGGAAACTGTTTTCTTCTTCGCCTTCGTCTTCGTGCTTCTCTTCTGTCGAGGCTTATTGTGATTGCCCTGTGTGTGCACCTCTCTCGGGCTCTTGCTCGCGCGCAACATTTTTTTTTTTTTCGGAAATTTAGATTTTTAGAGAACAGAGGAGGGTGTGTGTGCGTACCTATATAGGTAGAATAAATTTGAGCGAGAGAAATTCGAGTGTTGTATAAAAATAAAGCTGGTTAGAGGAGCAGCAGCCCTGCAGCGGGACAGGATACGTGCGCGCGAGCGCAACAAAAGAATTACTTTTCGGTTAATTAAGCGTTAGTGCGCGCGCAGTAACGTCGTTGTGCTGTGTTGCTACGTTCCTTTTTTCCATTTTTTTTTTTTTTTTTTTTTACAAACTTCGACGAAAAAATAAATCAGCTTTGCAAAGCTGCTACCTATACCTTATATTTGCCGAGAGCAAACTCACGAGTGCCTGGCAAACGTTAGTTCGCCGCGCGCAATATGTATCAACATTTGCATATACGACGAAAGAGGAAAAATGAGAAACGTTAGAGAGACCTTGATAAAGAAGCGCATGTGTCTCGAGTATTTGTGAAAAATTGTGCAGCAAATTGATCAGGAAGAAAAGAGAAAAAGAAAAAGAAAACGCTTGACAAAACTATAAATATTTCATATTATTACAGATTTGGTTCGATGATTCTTACGGCATAAATCACACGAGCGGCGCGCATACCGCACAGGCGGAGATCAAAGAGCTCTGCGCTTCGGTGTCGTCGGTCCCGCGGCTCTTTCTTGCTCACTCTGTCTTTCTGTTTTTGGAGCTTCGAAAATAGCGGCAATAAATGTGTACACACTTAACGAATAAAATAAACAAATTTTTCAAGATTTTGAAAAAAAATCATCATCAACGCGTCGTACTCTTCTGGATGGGAGAACACAAAATTTATATCGCCTATAGGTAATGTTGCGAGATGTTCCATTGAATAACCCAATTTCCGTGTAAATAATACCCATAATATAACTGTGCTCTCTTTCTCTCCCTCTCGTATATTCTGGCCACATTATTTTACATGGTCCGAAAAATCATCGCGTATCCATTGCTTTCTGCTTGTTGCTGCTGCCTGCCTGCCTCAGCCACACATTCCTAGTACAGCGCAAAAAAAGCCTCTTTCTTTATTTTTCTCCCAACAGCAGCAGCAACAACATTCATCTGCGCCAACTTTTTCTTCTCTCGCTCTTGGCAGAAACGGAGAGAGAACTTTTAATTCTCCTTTTGTTCTTCTCTCTCTCTCGCGAGCGTCGCGCGCTCCGCAGACTCGCGAGAGAGTCGACATTTACATATGTGCTAAATAAAGGAAAGAGACAGGCTGAGATTTTTCAAGCCTGTAGTAATACATTCGTGGAACGCGTGTGTACACGCGCGCAACGTTTATACGATCAATTCGCGCGCTCGCACTAATATACACACACATACTAAGCACAGACAGCATATCACGAGAGAAAGAAAGAGCGCGAAGACGAAGAGCGAAGAAAATATGTATGTATGCGCGAGTATGAGTATGAGTTTGTAACATTGTAAGTGAGTAAGTGTGCATGATTAATTTGCCAATGATAAATGTCAATGATCAATTGACCAAGTGTCTGTCGTCGTCGTCGTCGCTGCTGCGACTTATTATTATTGCAAGCACTTGGACTCGCAATATATAACGTCAACTTTTCATCGCTCTTACTGCTTGCGAGAGAGCATGCGTGAGCCAATTAAAACTTTAAATATTTTGTTTTCGAAATTTTTTCGCACACACACACACACCGGTCGCTCGAGTCTTCGAGCTTCGTGCCGCGTATAGTATGGTAATGTCTGCGAATTATAACTCTCTGGCCTGGCAGTCTGATTCCACACATACGTAGGCACATTTATATTATACACGGTTACGAAGGAGAGAGACCTTGACATCGATGAAAGGAACGCGAAAAATTGCGGTAAATCAAATACACGGCGACGTAGATGAGAGTCTTTGGTATATAGATTGTATAATACCACGTTGAATAATAATCAAGTCAACGAAATGTGTATCGATCGGAGGATGGCGGGATGCACACGCAGCAGCAACAGAAACGACAGCAAAAAAGCAAGCCAAGAAAGACGATGCAAAAGGGGGAGAGAGGAATCACCATAAAGCAGTAGCGCAGCAACGTCAGTCGACGAAGACGAACGTCAACTTGTGTATAGCAAAAAAGAGAAAAGCGCAAAAGGGAGAAGAGAGAGAGAGAGAGAGAGAGAGAGAGCTGGACGACTCTCTGACATATAAGATATAATATAAGTTATTGCGAATCGCTTGCATGTCTATCTTTGTCTTACTCTTTGCACGCCGGCCCTGTCGTCTTCGTCTCGTCGTGTCACCCCCTTTCTCGATCGGTATAAACAACGAACGACGAAAAGAGGAGCGAACCGGGTGCACATTCCCTCTGTGCAGTCGCGGCTACTCGCGGCCTCTCTATATATATAACAAACATGCGCCTCGCCGTGGCTATATATATAATAAAACAAGCCCTACATTGCCCATTAGTATTGTGTTGCGCGAGAGGGCACAGAAAGAGAACGCACGCACAAAAAACAATATACTTTAGCTCGCGGGACAACATGAAAAAGGGCCTCTTTCTCCTGCCACGGGTATATATCGCGCGCGCATTGTGTAGTACGTCACATGCGTTCATCAGGTACTATATATTGTACCATATACGTCCGATCGAGAAATTTACTGCCTATTTTTGCGTAAACGCTCCGGACAGTGATTGAAGGATGAATGCCCCCGAGAGAGTTGCGCCGAGGACATTAGCATGGGCTACTGACTCTTTTTTTCCACTCTTTTTTTTTCAGTGCGTTATTGTTCGCTTTGTGTGTTTATATATTGCCCTGCCTGTAGCCCTCGGGGGACAAGAGCAGGTAGCAAGCACATTATAACAAGAGTCGCTCGATGCAACTCCACCTCGCGCGTACATAGGCTCATTAGAGTCACGGTATAGCATAAAAGTGAAGCATATATTATAATAAGAGAAAGAGCGTATAGAGCTGCCGAGAGAGAGAACATAACGCGCAGCCTCGAAAGTTGACAAAATATAACCTCTAAGATGCTCTGGGGACACACATTTATTCGGCGCTCGCACACACATGCACACTCGTACATTCTAATATGTATACGGCATTAACACGTTGTACTACGTACTACCTAGAATTAAGACAAAACAATGATAGGTACAAACTTACGGAAAGATGGAACAGGTGCATTTGTCTCATCGTGCACCCAATCGGACTCGGGACGACGACCACGACTCGCAGTAGTCACTGTTTTTGTATTCACTGTATATAATAATATATATAACGCACTCGAGAGAAAAGGCACGACTGATAGGAACTTTCAGTATGAAGATTATTCCAAAGACGCAGTTGGCCCGAAGACACACACGAGACAACACAAAACAGGGAAAAAAGAATCACACTCGACACTAGAGATAGTAGGCGCTGATAACGGCGCGCGCCGCGGATCTGTCTTGTGCACGATTTATACGTATTTTATATGCTATCTATATATAGCACACTTTTGTTGTCACAACAACCTGTCGCCCCGATCGCTGCAGTGCAGTCCTCTGATGATTTCTCGTCCCTTATTATTATTTTTTCAACGCGCACACGCACACCGCTAGCGATCTTAGTGCATCTATGCTGCTGCTACACACTTCACAAATACATGTATATAAGGCCAGCTAACGCGCGAGCCAAAGGAGAAAGAGAGCTATGGCGTCCGCTCGTTCTCTCTCATCGTCTGCGCACACACACGCAGGCAAGCGAGCAGCAGAGCTCTCGGAACTCGCGCACGCACAACTCCACCGACTCGCACCTCGCTGTACTTGGATTAGAATAATATATCTGTATGCAGCGATCGCAGAAAAACTATCATTTCCCGATAACGAATAAACAACAAATGTACACACGCACACTAACAAACAACGCGAGGTCTTTGCGCACTTGTATTATAATGTATTACACACGGACGGATTCTTGTGTCTCTGTATATAATGTGTATAGTCTCGCTCACTCGCACTCACGAGTCACGACGAGTGTCTTTATATGCGTGTGTGTATGGGTATAATGTGTGTGTGTGTGGCGACGAGCAGAGTGACGTCGACGAGATGTGGCTTATGGTGGCGCGACTCGTATACTGAGACTGGAAAAGGAGAGCGAGAGCGACCGAAGCCGTGAACCGAGCGAGAATTCTGTGTGTAGCGTGTGCGTGTGTGAATGTATTGGAGTTAGTTCGAGATTGGCTCGCGATTCGTGCCAACTCCGAAGCGCTGCGAGTCAGGCAGAGACCGGAGCAGCACTGTCCACTCACTCGCACACATATATATATATATAAAGTACGTGGTCGCAGACACACGAGGCGTGGACGAAGAAGAAGAAGAACTTGGTCGACAAACTCGCACGCGTATTCGCGTCCACGTATATAATTGTATACAGGCTTTGGAGCGTTTTTGCTCCGATTTACACTTCGGAGTTCGGACCTCGATTCGCGCACACATATGTTGTACTGCGAGACCGGAAAGGTCTGCCAGCCTCTGAGCGAGCTGCGATTCGAATCGGCGAGCGCGTTCGAATCCCAAGATCGTTCGATCTTTCTCCGATAATTATTCGAATCATTATTTATTTATTTATCCCATAGGATGTATCTAAGAATTACACGCTGGTTTTTGGGAAGTGACTATTTATATTATTACGCGACGACAATTGATTTCCGCAATTGGATGCGACTGTACATGAACTTTCTCCCGCGTTGCGTCCATTTACTGAATCAACAATGATATGCGATTCCTCGTAGTAAGGTCCGAAATGCTTATTTAGGACCCATGAATTAATTAATCACTTCGAAACGAATTAGTGTGGATTACAGACCATAAAACAGACCTCGTAAATCTGATCGATCGCTCTGTGATTTCAGGCACGTTTTCGATACTTAATATCCCACAACGGACACAAAATTCGAATATTGGAATCAATTTCATGCGTGTCACGCTCAATGCAGTTGATTCAATCAAAACATTCTTGATGAATGCGTTCGAAACCTCATCGTGACGATGATTTGTTTTTTAGCTCATGTGGTGCATCGAAATCTGTTCATTCGGCCGCTGCGTTGGTAAATTCATTTGTCTTGTGGTCATTCGAATAATTACGGAATTTCGAACATTAGTGATTTTTATTTCAGAAATATGAATAAAAATTAAGGATGACTTTGAAATTTTTTCTTATTCAAATTGTGAATTCTTAATCGAATCTTTATTGAGCTCAGCTTGAAACAATAAAACTATATGCTCCAACCATTTTTAATTTTTTTTTTGTTACATAACTTAATGTATCTGGCGACGGTGACGAGACCCGACATATCTTATACTGTGAATTACCTGTCGAGAAAGCAAGTATCGCCCAGCGGGGATGATTGGAAAGCTGTAAAAAGAATCCTTCGTTATCTCCGAGGCACTAATGAAGTAGGTTTGATGTACTTATAGATTCAACGACCACGTGATCAAATTATTTGAGGACCCAGTAGCCTGGAGAAGTCACACCTGGATAAAAACCACTACTAAATCTATCTCCGCTATCAATCTAAAATCTATATCCTTGATTAACAATTTGCGAGCATAAAGCTATTGGGGTAAAACCTGGCATGATCTTAAGATTTTAATCCTACTTACAAAAATTCAGATCAATCGTACTTTCATTTTTATTAAATAATATTAATTGAAGAAAATTTGTTTTATAGGAAAAGAAGAAAAACATGAAAAAATATAATAAAATCACCGAGTTTGACTTGCCGTACGATTGGTTATTTATGCGAATAGGACCCCGGTTTTCTTTTGATTTTGAAACTAGTAAAACGACAACAAAAAAATCAAACTTTCAACAGTCAAAAAATTACTATTTATTAAGGTGATGCCGAAGCCCCAATTTTACTGTTTGAAGGATAAAAAATTTTGATCCCGTTTTCTGGGAAAACTATCCGATGAAATTGGCTGAAATTTGTCACGATTGTTCGCAGCAACAATACGGAGAGCTTCACAGAGCCGTTTTTCGAAAATCAGCCTGGAAAAAAAGTTACGAAAATATACATTTTCTGTGTTGGGTCAGTAAAAATTGTGGCTAAGGCATCACCTTAATAAAATTTAAATTTATATAATATGTATTTTTTTTTCACTTGGTCTAGAGGTCTCTGAAGATTTTGTTAGCTGAGTTACAACAATTTTTCGATCAAATAAAATTTCATCAAGCTTAAAATTGTTGTAACTCATCTTACAAAATATTCAGAGACCTCTAGCCCAAGTGAAAAAAAAGAATCAAATTTTGCTTTTTGGATTTTCAGACTTATTTTCAAAACTTTCAGAGTTATCTGTATGAAATTTGAACTTGCGTTCAAACAAGATATTTTAAATCTATTTGCAAAATTACACATACTAGTCAAATTTCATTTCAATAGCATCAAAACTTTTCATGTATCAATAAAGCAAAAGTATACTTTTTACTCTTAGCAAAAGCCTTAATACTGCTTTTCTGATTTTCTGACTTAATTTCTAAACTCTTAGAAGAAAAGATGCAGATAAATTCATGAATTTTTCAATTTTCAAATTTCACGCCTTTTACACAGCAACTAAGTGAGTGGTAATTCTGTCCAATGGAACGCCGGAATTTCCTATGCTTACAAGTTCTACCACTCTGTTGGACCGGACGGAATTAACGGCCGCTCGTCTAGTGTACATACGATATACATACATAGAAGGTTTGACAGTTTAAGGTTAATTTTTCCATATTCAGTAATAAAGGGTGAGTGAAGCTGAATAAGTAGCAAAATAAATATCATTATTTTATTCTCTCAAGTAATAAGTAACAGTATAAAGTATCGATCGTGTATGATTTGTCATCAATTACTTTACTTGATGTTTTACAAGCTGTATAGCTGCTTGTACGCCAACGATGTGTTCATAGTTAAATTAGAGCAAAAAGACAAATCTTTTCAGTCAAGTTAAGCTATAGTTAAATAAGTGTATAGTTTTATGAATTTTCGAATAATTGCATTCCAATAAAAATCAATGTTTTTACTTTAATTGTGTTTGAGATATGAATAGTAGTCATACGCCAAGAGGATAACAAAGTTAACATTCCTTAACAGGGAAAGGAAAGTTAAAAAGCTACTAAATGATGATTTTAAGCACTATTTCAGTGCCCATATTATGTTCATGAAATAAAGAAAAGATTTATGCAATTAAACTTGACTTTAGTTCTCTGCAAAGTCTGATTTTACAGATTTTTGCATCTATGCCACATGATTCTGAACTGAAGTTTTGACTAATCTTGATCTGTGGCATCTTGAAATCGTTGTAATAACATTCTCTCCCACTTAAGTAAAGCAGAATTTTATGAAAAAGCTTGGAAAATTTTTTGCATACTTGAATACAAAATAAATGCAAAAAATAGAATTTTTTTTTAACGCTGATTGCTATATTTTGAGATGATTAATTAAAAAAATAATTTAATCAAAAATTTGCCCCACTTAAGTGAAAGAGAATGTTTTTACAAATCTTTTGAGACCCTATGGATCAAAATTGGTCTAAAATTGGATTCAGAATCACGCAGCAAAGAACTTTAGAAAAATAATTCATTATTGATGGATCCTAGACTAATTTAAGTGATTAAAGTCACTATAGTCATTTACTGTATTTAACTCAGATGTATCCCCTTAAAAGAATAATAGTCATATCAATCTCTGAAGATATAACTGTATTTTTTTTTTCAAGATGCAATATGAAAATAAAATAGAGACATTTGTCATTTCGCTGTCTATGATTTTCAACCGAAATATTTGTCCACAAACTTTTTCTTATTTTGTATTCACAAGCTCATTTTCTGTTTAACTTTGAAGGACTCATATATTGCTTTTAGCACCCGAGCTTTAATCTACACTCAAGATTTTTTCAACTGGTGATTTAGTTAAGATGAACTAGTTTTTCCTCGACATGATCGTATTATTCAATGCAAAAATTATTCATTTCAGTTTTTAGCTATCAATAATCCATCTTTTGCTTGTTCCATTAGGCCGAAAAAAACGAATATGCACGAGAAGAAGAGACGATTCCGATGCGGTCAATGTTCTAAAATTTATGTTTCTGAATCTTGCCTCAGACGTCACATGAAAAATGAGTGCCAAACAGATCTATCCTTTACATGTCGCAGGTGTCAAAAAAGTTTCTATCAAAGGTGTCATCTAGAGAGACATATGAAACTCCACCAAAAGACTGCGAAAGTTCAAGTGAGACAACCCCATGAAGTTAACGCCGTTCAAGCTCAAAACTACAATCTGTTTGGGACAGAAGAAATTGATAAATTATGGAAGCAAATTCCATCCCTTTCACTTACTTGTAACACCCAAGAAAAAACCAAGCAGGAAGAGTCCAACAAAGAAGAATCCACCGAAGAATATGAGTGCCAAAAAGATCCATCCTTTATGCACGAGAAGAAGAGACAATTCCCTTGCGATAAATGTTCTAAAAAAACGGTTTATTTTTCTGAACCTTGCCTCAGACGTCACAAGAAATATCAACGCCGAACAGATCCATCCCTTACATGTCGTCAGTGTCAAAAAAGTTTCTATCTAAGGTGTAATCTAGTGAGACATATGAAACTCCACCAGAAGACTGCGGAAGTTCAAGTGCGACAACCCCATGAAGTTACCGCCGTTCAAGCTCAAAACCATAATCTGTTTTGGACAAGAAAATGATGAATTACGGAAATGAATTTCATCCCTCTCACTTATTTGTAACTGCCAACAAGAAACCAAGCAAGAAGATTTCAACAAAGAAGATTTCATCCAAGAAGATCTCACCTAATAAGATTTCAACTGCGAAGGTTTCATCAAAGAAAAGTCCACCTAGAAGAAATTTGAATGAAAAAACTCTACCTACGAAGATTACTACCGGAAAAACTTCACTCAAAACGATTTCACCTGTAAAAATTTCTTCTTGGATTAAAGAATTAGTTGCTCAGTCTACGACTTGTATGGTCCCAACTGAAATGATTTCACCTGGAATGATTTCAGTTTGGATGATAATAACCGGGATGAATTCAACAGAGAAAATTTAAAATGAACATGGCTCGTTTTGAAGCGTGTGATCAGGGTTTTTCATTTTTTTTATTTTATTATTTTCAATTATATACATTCTTAGATTTTTATTACAACCTAGTGTATAAAGATTTTACATTCTTATTTAATGTTATTTAATGTTTGAATAGTTTGCTGGATTTTAGTTACATATTAATGTTAACATGAATTGAAAATTTTAGAATTCTGAGAATCTTGCTAAGTTTTGATATAATTGTTTGATTTTATTAGAATTTTTCATAATAATTGTTGAATTAATGTAAAAATCAGTTCCCTTCATTTCCCAAATCAAATCTTAAAGTGATTGTATTTTAAATAAAAAATAATCCCATACCATTTGAATAAATACATTAAAAAAAAATTGAAATGTCTCTTTTTCTCTACACTTTTTATTTGATACATTTATCTCGGCGAAGACGACGTCTTTGGCTTCGCGTTTTACGCTCGTCTTACTCACAAGTTTTGTTCTTATGATTTTTAAGCAGCTAGTTATCCTTACTTTTCTTTTTTTTCATACGGAGTTATATAACAATTATATAGTCAATATAATATAATAATATAATACATTTCATCTAATAATAAATCAATATTTGAATTAAATATTACTACTTCGAAGTATTGACATAATGCAGTACTTAATTCTCACAATTCATTTCGATAATGCAAAATTCCTATTGAATCACACTTAATTTAAATGTAAGGAGCATGGCGCGAGAATCGTAGCTCGTCTGCTAAATTAGCCAATTTCGTAGCCGCGACACACGTTTCTCGGTAAACAAGGCAAGGCTTTGGCTACAATATCCCGCGGACATCTTACGCATAAAATTCACCGTTTACTTACTGCAGGATAGAAGTATATCCCTATCCATTTTCTATGTATTTTTATGGAAAAATACACTGAGAGCATAGAGCGCTGCTGTCTCCGAAGCACACATGCGCAGACGCGAACTTTGCAAATCCGCGGGTAAAACCGGCTCTCTATCGTCAGTCAAAGCAAAACAGGCCAAAGCCTCGAGCGAGTTATTTTTTGTTTATACTTGTTCGATTAAACGTCTTACGCGCGTATCAGTTTCGCAGGTTACAACATTGTCAAAAAAAAGCAAATTCAGCAAAAATGTCGTGGAATCAGTTTGACAACTCGACCAGGGGCGAGGGTGGCTTCATGGACACGACCGTGAACGAGGGTGCGGGCGGCGACGGCGGTGACAAAAACGCCAAACGAGGTCAGAACTGCATGCCCGTCATGATATCGCACATACAGAGCCGCGGTGAGAAGCTTGAGGTCTGGGGCACCCCGGCCAAAATCATCACCATCGTCGCCGTCGTGACCAAAATCGAGCCCGCCAGCACCAAGATTGCCTACGAATTTCAGGATGAAACTGGTTTGTCTACATTGTTTTTACCTAGTAAAAATGATTGAGATGGTTGTCACAATCAATTAATCTATTTGTTTTATTCAATGTGCAGGTTCTATCAGAGGGATCAAATGGTTGGAAAATGAAAGTTCTGAATTTATCTCACCGGTTGAGATCAACAACTATGCAAGAGTATATGCCATGATCAGAGATCAAGGCGAGGAGCACACTCTGCTTATCTTAAGTATTCAGCCTCTGGAACATCTTAATGAACTTGTAGCGCACTTAATGGAGGTGACACTTATGTGTCTCGAGGGTCAAAAGGGGATCTCAAATACCCAAAGTACCACAGCTGTGGGTAGTGGTGGTGATACTCAATCTGGAAGTATGAACCCATCCCAAAAATTGGTACTGGAAATCATTAAGAATGGTGATCAAGAATACGGAGCAGAGAGAGATGAAATCAAAGCCAAAGTGCCACAAAATTTGATTGCTAAAGTTGATGAAATAATTGAATTTTTATCTGCAGAGGGTCACATTTATACCACTAAAACAGATGATTATTTCAAAGCCATTTAGTTCAATTGTAGAGTTGGTTTTTATCTATTTGAATCAATTCTTTAATGATCAAATATTTTTTTACAATCAAGAGAGTTGTAAATATAATTTTAACTCTTTTAATTAATATTCTAATATATATTATAGTAAAATACCCATGTTGTACTGTTCATTAGTATTATGTTTTTAATATTAATATTAAATAAAGAAAAAGTGTAACAAATCTCACTTGTTTCATTAATAAAAATCTTAATCCTAATCTTTTCAAATATCTTTCTATCAATAAATGAATGTTGACTGTCATCGATTTCGAACAAACGTCGTGTCGTGCAAAATACCTTCCTTTGTCTATGTACAGCTTGCAGTCTCGTGTACACGTGACCACTTGTTACTTACGAGCAGCGGCCGCTTGTTGCTGTCAACCTTATCTCAAAAGGTTAGCTTTGGCGCGAGTAAGCGAGTGCTGTGCATTCGAGGCATGGCCGATTATCGCTTCGTAAATATTGTGCTTATCATCAAATGTCGCGAAATCATTTGAATTTTGTTGTCAGTTATTTTCGTGCACTAAAGAAGATTTATATTTCGTGGTTGTTAAATTAATGCATCAAGTATGGATGATGAACACAGTAAGTATAGCGACCATTATTCAAAATAAAAAAACGAATTGACAATTTCGAACTTTGTTTGTATTCTAGCTTTGCTTAAAAAAAGAAAAAAGGCAGAGAAAGAAGGAAACGTTAAATTGCTCGTCGAAGTCTGTCGAAAATTGGGTGATATTTATTACGATGCAAAAAAATTTGACTTGGCTCTGGAAGCATATGAAAAGCAGCTATATGCTTGCGAATGCGAGGATGATCAACTCAACTGTGCCAAGGCTCACAGGATGATTGGTGAGGTCCAAGCCGAAGTAGGTAATATTGAAAAAGCATTGGAACACCAAAAAGAATATTTGCGTAAGAGTCATTTTAGATTGTTATCTCTGTTTAAATTTGATTAGAATAGCAGTTCTTATTTTTATACATTTTAGGCATTGCAAAAGGATTGCAAGATTTAGTGGAAGAACAAAGAGCATATGCCACACTTGGTAGAACATATTTGTTTCAAGCAGAAAGGGAAGATGGTCCAAAAGATGAAATCTTGAAAAAGTCTAAAAATTCATTTCAGCAAAGTATTAAACTATGTGATAGGTAAGTAACTTTATTAATTTATTTGTTTTATTGCTGTCATGATATCAAGAGATGATCTTTATTTTTTAGATTAAATAACCACTTAAGTGAGAAAGAGCTGATCATAATGCGTGCACGTCTACTACTTAACTTAGGTTTAGTGTTAGAGCAACAAAAAGATCTGCAGAAGGCATTGAACTTGATTAGTCAAGCAGCAACTATGTGTAAAGAGCATAAACTCCATGAAGAGAAGTGTCGGACTTATATAGCTCTTGGAGCAATACTCGAAAGAAAAGGAGATGTAAAAGAAGCGTTGCAAAAATTCACAGATGCTGCCAAAGTGGACGATCCTTATATGAAAGTTGATGCTTTGGTCTTGAAATCAGAATTACTTTTAAAACAAGGTGAATGGTTTCAAGGTAGAATTGTTCTCCAAAAAGCCTACAAATATAAAAATGTAGCTTCATCAGCTATGGATCCGGTTAAAAAGCTACTGAGAATAGGTAAGTCTAATCAAATTGTTGTGTCCCCCAAACTCATTGAAATTTAATCTTTTTAATTTCATCAGCTGTCGTCTTATGCCGCAGAGAGGACGAGCTAATCCACACCAGCGACCCGTCGCGGAGGGAAAAAATTTACGAGGAAATGGGTGACGCGGCCACGGAGTGCAAATCGTTGGACAAGGCCATAGAATATTACGAGAAGATGGTGGAGTGCGCGGAGAAAACGGGATCGCCTAAGCTGGGAGCTGCTTTAAACAGCGTCGCGCAAACTTTAAAGGATCTCGGAAAATTCGGCGAAGCCATTCCCTACGCTCGTCGAGAAATGGAGCTGTGCAAAGACCCCAAGGAAACGGCCAACTCGGCTGTGTTTCTAGCCGGTCTCATGAGCGATGCTCAGTACCCGCATTCATCCATCAAAACCATGTACCAGAAAGCGTTGAACTCGGCTAGGGACAGCAACGACGAACATTTCGAGAAGACGGTCACGAAAATTTTTATCGAATATCTCGAGAAACTGGACAACGATATCGACGAGTCCCTGAAAAACGAGCTGAACGCCAAGTGGGAGGAACTCGACGAGCGCGTCGAGAGTCAGAACACCGACGACTTTGAAATGGAAGGACCGGAGATCGGCGCGGACATCGATCTGGACGGCCTGAGCGATCCGGAAGTCGAGGAAAAATTGTCCAGCAGTATGGAGCAGCAACCGAGCAACGTAGCTCGTACGACTCGTCGGCCGAAGCGATGCGTCGTGAAAAAAATGAACGAGAAGGGCGAGACGAAGCTACACATCGCGTGCATGAAGGAGCCCGGCGAGAACGACGAGGCGAACATCAAAGCCGTGGAGAAGCTGCTGGCGGAGGGACACCCGGTGGACGTACGTGACAATACGGGTTGGACGCCTCTGCACGAGGCAGCCAATTTCGGCCACGTGGAGATCGCCAAGCTACTGCTCAATGCCGGCGCCTCGGTCAACGATCCCGGCGGCGAGCTCTGCGAGGGAGTGACCGCATTGCACGACGCCGCGACCAACGGCCACTTCTCCATGATGCAACTGCTGCTGGATCACGGCGCCGATCCGAATTTAAGGAACAGGGCCGGAGATACCGCGTTGGATTGCTTGTTGACGCACAAGGAGAAGAACGATATCGAGGGACACAAACTGAAGGAGTATCTGTACGTGAAGAGTCGGCTGGAAAAGACGACGAAGGTCAAGAGGAATAAGAGCAAGAGCCGCAACTCCGATTCCGGTCGAAGGGGCGAGAAGTTGAAAGCTCTGATCGATGAAAACGACAGCGATGACTCTAGTCCGAGCGGTAAGTTGAACTGATTGAAATTTTTGAGAAAAATAAATTCACTCGGTAATTTGTCTTTTAATTAACGTTACTTTACAGAAACTTACGCGAAACCCGAAAAGATCTCAGCTGGCGAGGACTACAAGCGCACCATAGCCAGCCTGCAACATCCCGGAAGATCGCGGCAGGTGGGTGCTCAGCCATCGGCACCCACGAAAATCACGGCACCCCTCATAGACAACGAGGAGATGCTGGCTCAAGACGAAGACTGGCTCATAGACGATTTGGGACTGAACTCGAAGGGTGGCAGGAAGGACAATTTTTTCGATTACAACGGGCTGAAACTGTCCTCTTCGACTGCCGCCACGACGACAGCAACACCGGCAAAGAGAAAATCCATCGGCGACGAGGAGCTGATCGAGATGAAAAAACCGACGAAGAAGCAAAAGTTCTCCGAGGGTCTGATCGATGTGGAAGAAAGCGCGAGAGTCTCGAAGAGCCTCGAGTGGAGAATTCGCGACGAGGACTTCGCGGCCCCGATGAGCGACGAGAACAGCTGCGAGAGCACGGAATCGACGTCCGCGAGACCCGTCGTCGTCGTCCAAAAGGAGATCTGGCCGAGAGCCAAGAAGCGAGCGAGGCAGACGAATCTGCTGAAGCAGGGCTTCGTCGTGCAACCTCGCGCCGTGGAGTCTCGATCTCCCTCGCCGGAATTCGTGCCCATCGCGAAGACCTCGCCCGTGATATACAAACCCGGCCACGAGAGGCATTCCTGGGATTCGGGTACGGTCAGCGACTCCCTCGACTTGGACATCCTCGTGGACGGCCATTCGTTTCAACTGAAGCTTCACGGCAGAGATTTGAGAAAGACCATGACGGACATCGAGAATCTCATCAGGGACAAGTTCGAGGTGAAAACCGGCTGCAGACCGATCATAAGATTCAAGACCGAGACCGGTTGCTGGCTGGAACCCAACTCGACCCTCGAGCAACAAATGCCCAATCATCGCAAGATACTCAATCTCGTGGGCGAGATCACACAGAACGTGCTCGCGCCCATTGTCGACAGGTACAAGAAGATCTGCGAGAATCTCGGTATCGCCGTCACCGAACAGATGGTCAAGTCACTGCGCAGCTGCGAGAACACCCTGACCTTTCGCCTGAACTCGAGCGACTCCTACGTCACGGAGGAGCTCGATCCGCTCATCACCTGTCTGCACTACCAGGAGAATCTGCAGATTTTGAATCTCTCGACGGCGACGTTTTACCGTCGCGGCCAGCTTCTCGATTACTGCCTGGCGCGCCTCAACAATCTCTGCGAGCTGCATCTGCAGTGCTGCGACATCGACGCCGACTGTCTCGAGGCCATCGACGCGCTGCCGGCCCAGCTGAGGGTGCTGGATCTGTCCTACAATCGGCTGGGCAATCGAAGCCAGAAGAAGCTGTTTAAACTGCTCGAGCCGTTGGCTCGGCTGCAGAGGCTGGTCTTGAGAAGCTGCGATCTGACGGCGTTCGATTACACGTTCAGGTCGGCTTCGCTCATCGATTTGGACGTATCCTGGAATCCCGTGGGTGGTAGCGGTGCTGCCAATTTGATTCAGAATCACTTGCTCAACTTGAATCTATCGAATACGCAAAAGCTTAGGGATAATGTTATTGACAAGATATTTTTCAATGATTCTTTGGTGAGTTGAAATTAACTCTATTGATTATTTTTCATTCTACAATAATAACGATGACTCTCTTCTGCAGAATTTTTCGTTTTTAACCCTGGAGTCCTTGGAATTGTCGTGCTGCGATGCCACCGATTTGGACGTGGAGAAAATTCTGTCCAAGGCACCGAACCTTACAAGAATCAATCTCAATAACAATATTAATGTGACAAAAACGTCGCTGTGCGCTATACTCAGCCGAAAAACGGCTACGCAGTACGTTGACTTCAGCGATTGTCGAACGATCGATTCAGCGCCAGAGTCCCGAGTGCAACTAGTGGCACCTCAGCACTGCACTGTGAGAGTTACTATGACTCCAAATGTGATACAAGACTGGGAAAGGTTGTGGCTGGGCAGAGGTCGGGCAAAGAGACTGCCTGAGAAGTTGGTTGTATTTGGACCTTTTTAATTGATCAAAAACATTTAATCATGTTACAAAGACTGATTATAGATTAAAAATTATCGTTTTTAAAAAATTTTTGATAAACTTTAAGTTGTTTTGTACAATTGATTGTTAATTTTTATTATGAAACAATATGTACAGATATTTAATGAAAAAATATAGTTATATTTTTCATACTCTTTTAATTTTTTGTACTTATGTGATATCGTTAATGTAATTTAAATTTAAATAATTTGTTTCCTACTTTACATTTAATGCAATCGATTTCTAGATATCTTTCTTCAGGATGTTCTTGGAAGAAATCATATAGTTTTGTTGTTAAGAAAGATTTTTGAGCTTCCAGTACATTTCTTTGATCTCCAAGACCCCATGCAAAACTTATGTGATATGAAGGGTTCTGCCAAAAAAATATTTTTGTTAAATTGACTCCAATTATTATATTATTTTTTATTATAAAAATTTAATAAATATTACCTCATAAAATAGTGGTAGTTGGTATTCATCAGCAACTTTATCTAATGACTGAGTTAATTTTAGAAGATTATCATCTTCGCTTTGAACAGCTATGCCCATGAACGTCCTTGTTTTCTCTTCATTAGAATAGATTTCAATACTATTTAGCTCCATAAAAAATGACTTTTGACTATCAACTATACTTTTCACAGCCTCCACAAAGGAATCAATCCAATGAAACTTTAGTATCAATGTTCGAGTTAGACTTACATGAAACTCCTCAAATAAATTACCTGTTTCGAATGATTGATTTAAAGTACTTTTCATCCATTTTATCATTTCAGCAGTTGGTATATCTGTGAAAATAAAGATAAAGTAAAATGATATGTAAGAAAAAGTATTTGTCAAATCATTAATGAAATTTACAATCAATATAAACTAGAGTAGCCCAATTTCCTCTTTCATGCTTGAAGGATCTGCTTCGTCCGTCATGTTCCAGGGGATTATCAATGACTTCTTCATGATGCACTGCAGCTCCTTTCCAAGATGATATCGATTCTGGCAAGGGTAATTTATTTCTAATAAATGGAAGTTATTTGAGTTTTAAAAACCAACTGTCATCTTTAAAAACGACGCATATTAATATAACCCAACTCACATTTTTTCCTCCAACTTTACACAAGGGTTTTGATTATTTTTATATTCGGTTTCGTCATTGTCATCCGAGTCCGACGAATATTCTTGAATCAAATTGAGCCCCGACATGATCTATTCGTTTCCGAATAATGATTGTTTTGAAAATGCAAAGCATTGCTAAGTAGCAGACAGAAGATGTCAAAACATAACCTTTGAACTGCGGTTTAATTTTTGTCTGCTTCTTCTTCTTCTTCTTTTTTTGGCCTTGGAATCTTAATAGATTGCCGGTCTGCCACACTTCATGTTTGGTTGCAATTTTTGTCTGCTAAATGTCGTTTATTGCGCGATCATATCGTCAACATGGTATAGAAATAGGATTCGAACGAAAAAATTGCTACAATTTTTTTGAGAGTTGAACGAATTTGAAAACTTAAATTAATTGTAGGGAAATTTATAAATACACATTTTTCTGTATTCTTTAATTTTATTTGTACAGCAATAGTTATTAAATTATTTTACAAGTAGTACACGTTTTCGTGAAAAGTAACATGATTTTAATTGTCTTTGAGATAATTAAATTTTACTATTTTCATATATTTAGAACGAGTTCCTGACAAAACAAAAATCCTAAATGTTGCCAGCGAAGCGGCCTTCTGCTACTTGTTCGTCCCATTTTTCTACCCAAGCCATTGGGCAAATGGATGTGTAGACTTTCTTGAAGTATTGACAGGCTTCATACTCTTCTCCACGTACTTTACTGCATCTATGGAAGTCCAAGTAGCTTTGATAGCAGTATCTGCGAAAAGAATTTTTTTTTAATGCCATGATGCTATAATTTAGAGGTATGAAATGCAGAAGTATTTATATTTATTTCAGTCTTTGCTTTAAAGTGATACCAGGCCGTTTTGAAAATTGTAAAAAAATTGTAATTATACTATATGAATATTGAGAAAATGTGAACATACCTGGTTTGATTTTGATTGGGGAATCTTGGATCGAATGGAGCTGTTTTCAGCTCAGGATGACCTTCCACAGCAGTAGACATGTTTGGCTATTAAGTCAGGCAATCAATAATAATTAAAAAAAATAGATTGTAAATAAAGAATGGTTTTACAATTTGCACATTGAATTTTCCAATTGACATACTTTATTACGAAGATTTTTTTTAACAAAAGTCAATTAAATTTCTTTTAACAAAACTTGAATTGCAAACACCAAAGATAGGAATAATACATTTGATTTTCTTGTGTTTTCAATTCAAAAGATATTTTCAAGCATTGTACAAAGCATTAAAAAATAGAGCACCTAAATCTACCTTTTTTAAACAAAGAAACTAGAAATATAATATATTTAGCCCTACTTCTATTAGAATAGGCCCTACAAATAATTTTTTTTTCATCAAAGAGTAAAAAATTGAAACCAGTACTTTTTGTACTTTTAAATTACGATAATCCCTTCATAATTTAAAAGTTTGAAATTTAACTAATTTGGATTTAGAATAATAATTTTTATAAAATTTTACAATGATGTAAACAGTTGATAAACTGTTTTTGTCTTGCCTACCATGAGAATATCTTATTATTTTCTTCTCATAATTTAGCAGAAAAAGAGATTTTACAGTTTTACTTTGAAGTAGAAGACAATCTAATAATACCTGAGACTTTTTATGAAATTTAAGGTATGAAATACTTCATAAAAAACATTAAAACATACTGTATGAATCATAAACAGAAGTTGGAAATACATTTGTACCAAACATGTATAAAAAACTGTTTATGATATTACTCATCAGTTCAAATTATAATACATTTGAGTATAACTTCAACAAATCATTAAATCTTTTTAAAGAACCTAATTTAGCCAATATTTAGGTTACTATGAATAACCTAAACAGAGAATAACAAAACTTGATATTTAATATTATAGATATGATCTAGTTCTAATTTATTTGACAAGTGGTCTAGTATTATCTTCTTCTTGACAGCAGACTTCTCTGTACTTTTTAACTTCAGCCATGTATAGTGACCAGGCATCTTTGGGCTTTTCTTCTACTTGTTCAGTCTTTTGCTTGGCAACCATACCAGTTTTCAGTATCCTACCCCCACGTCTTTTGCCTACCATCAATGGTGGTGGAGCAACAGGTTTCTCTTGCAAAATAGGTTTGGTAGTTTCAGCTTCTTGCACAGTATTTGCTTCTTGCATTTTCTTGAACATTTCCATGAAGCTTCCATCATTTTTAAAGGCATTTGCTTGAGCCATAAATGGCGAAGGTGAAGGATTGTAATCATCTTGGACTTCAGGTTGTTTGGATTTGTGTTTTTTAGATTGACTGCTTTTTTTGGACTTATTACTGGATCTGGATTTGGATGAAGGTGATCTTCCTCTTGACCTAGATCTAGACCTTGACCTTGATCGTCTTCTATGTTCCCTATCTCTGTCTCTATTCCTTTCCCTATCCCTGTCTCTGTCTCGTTCCCTGTCTCTATGACTATCTCTATCTCGATACGAGTCTCTGTCTCTATTTGAGTCCCTATCTCTGTATGAATCTCTTTCCCTTTCATATTCTTTATCATTATACCTATCTTTATCTCGGTCCCATTCTCTGACCCTATCTCTATTATATTCTCTATCACGTTCTGAAGATCTTGACCTTCTGTATGATCTAGGCCTACTGTTGGACCGGCTTCTGCTCCGTCTTCTTTGCCACCTGTCCGGAGTTGGTGATTTCCTACGGCTCTGGTAGGCCTCGGTGGCACTCAGACTCGGCGGTGATGGAGCAGGTGGCACATCCGATGAGTCGAGCCAATCGTCCATATTGGGGTCCATAGCCTGGAGCTGATGGTTGCATACACAGAATCAAAGGTTCCTGACCTATAAGGATAGAAACTTCCTTCTATGAGTTTTGCTACAGTAACAATGTTTCTCCTGCTATTACTTTTATATGCTTTATACAATAAATGTCACTTGATTTATTTAAGTTCAACAAATTGTATTTCCTATTTGGTGTTTGCTTTCAATAATCATTCAGAGATAAATTAGCAGAAGTTTTCTACAATGCTAAACTTCAATTTGCTTGACATAATATTAAAGTATAAATTCAAAAGATAATTTTAAAGCCAATTGGATAACCATAGTTTCCCACAAATGAGCTTTAAAATCAACTATGAATTGTTTGTTAATCATAATATTTTTCAACATGCTCGATATTCGATCGATCAAAATCATCATATGGCTTACTCGAGGCAAGAGGTGTTGTTGACAAACGTAAACAATAAGACTATTACATAAATGAGCACGAATCGAGAAGGAATTTATCGACCATGTCATGTACGAGTGAAAAGTCAGTGCAAAGTTACTCGAAGGATGAATCAACAAAGATGCAAATTTTTCGTTATGTTAAGAACACGGTTCAGTAAAGTCAACGTCATCGTCGCGATATTCGAATCGCATGTGGTCAAGCCAAATGTGATCCATTCCCGTGCTCGAGGAGAGCTCACAGTACGTGTGACAAAGAGAGAGAAAGAGAGAGTAGACGACGACTTTCTTGCACAGGGCAAGACTCGCGTTTGCCTCTCCGTCGCTTCGCGTATCAATGAAAAGATAAAAAAAATTGGCTACGATTGGAAAATTCAACAGTGCTAAATTGTTAGAATGATTATAATGATGCGGATAGTGCACACTACCTTATTCGACTTAAGTTAAGTCCGTAACAGGAGGATTTTATAAGTGTTCGATGACAAACAAGATGGCTACGGTCGAGTTTTCTTGGTCTCTCTGCTGCTCTGAGCGTTTGTCGCTATATGCTGACTTCTGCAATGTTGGCACGAGTTTCAGTAGGGTACAGTAGAGAGAGACATTCATGCGCTTTGCTGCAGAGGAAAAGAGACGGAGAGATGCATGGAGCGTGAGAGGAAGAGAGAGAGGGGAGAGACGTTACGTCACGAGTTCGCCTACATGCGCCTATCTTTGTCCGCCCTGTAGCCCCGCATGCGCGCCGCTCCAAATCGATTGAATCGCGGCGGCAGCGACTGGAAAGGAGCTTTTCCGACTTGCGCCGCGCTAAATTCCATGACATAACGAAAAGCGTCTCTTTTCAATCGAATGTATGAGTTTCATTGAAGAAAAAAAAAAATTATTGGTGGCATTATAAATCTTTTGAAATAAAAATTTTAAAGTTTTCAAAGAATATCATCAGCCCCTTTGAATTTATTTGCATAATCAAATCATAAGCTGAAATATTTCTTTTAATGGTGAAAATAATTAGATGAAATAAATAATTGCTGCCTAACTTTCAGAGATGTGTTTTTATTCCGTTATAATTAAAATATACAGTGTGTCATGGGTGAACAAGCAGAGTGTAGTTTCATAATCATCCCACTAACAAAATATTATTTTTCTCCCCTTTTTTTACCTATCTGAGGTCAATGCCACTTAGGAGTTTTTATTTTTTTTGTTTTGCTCACAATTTTATAAATTGCATACATAAATATACACGATTTTAATTGTATAACATACACGTTAAAGCCTACAATCTTAATATCTTGCTATTATAATCACATATCTTTCACACACTATTTTCTTTGCACCCGTACTTTCTTTTTTTTAATAATATTTCGTTTTTTTTTCTTCTTTTTGCACTGCATTTTGTATTACCATGAGAAATGAAACGGTATACACAGTATACAGATTATATCATCATCAAAAGCACTCATAAGGCTTTTTCTTTATATCTTATACACTTATATTCTCCTAGACTCTCGCTTTTTCGCATTTCCGCAAAAGGAATCGAAAAAGCAGGGTCTCCTTTAGAACACCAGGACTCGAACGAGAAATATACAATTGTTGTGTGTTAATTCATTATAGGTACAAATTGTTTTTTTGTAATGAAAAATCGATCGATCAGTATATAAATCGAGTAATAAAAAAAAAATTCATTAAATAACTTGGATGTGTATAATTCACTTATTCAACATTTGCCTGCACTTCCAAGATTTTACATTTATAACTTTCAACAACAATACTTGCTGAAAAATATATGTACGCATTCTACCTTTTTCCTTTCGTTATTTCATTGATAAATTCAACTCAACAATTGGACACATTAAAGTCTAAGCACAAGATTAACAGGAGTGTTTTCAACGGTACTTATTTATAAAATTTGCTCTTAATATTATGCGTCATTCTCAAAGAACTGTACATATTTAGGTTTCGATTTTTGAATTTTATTTCTATGCTTTATGGGCGGTTAGCTGATTGCTTGGATTTTATTTCTCTGATCCTATAGAAAATTCATCAATCTAGCTGCCTCATATCCCAGTTATTTTTTTTATTTATTCAAGTCTTGAAGTATTTCTACTTTATGAAGTTCATGAGTTTATAAGGTCATGAACATAATATCTTTGGATGAATTTTCCAAAATAGCTATTAAAAAGGGGCGTTACAACAGTCTTCTATGATTTGTGTGAAGAACAGTCTTTAATGCATATAATCTATGCTTAATGCCAAAACTCGGAAGCAAATCAAATTTTGTTCCATTGTTTCTTTCAACAACATTTTTTTTACAGTTCTGTCGTATTTGTTTTCTTGCTGTATAATTACTCGTTTCTAATTTTTAGTCTCACTATACATTCATTGTAACGTAAAAAATCAACATTTTGTTTTTTTTTGGTTTTTTTTACATGATTGTTTTATGTATTCAAGGGCTATTAAGAAAAAATAGTATTTGCCCTTTACAAAATAAGTATTCTTCCTCTAAAAGGTGTAGAATACGGTTTGTATAGATGTAGATGGAAAGTTAATTTTTATCATTGACAACGATTTTTTCATATAGTTAATAGGACTTGCAGTGCCTAAATGGTTAATAACAGTTGGATTAACAACCTTTCAACCCATGACAATATAGTAAAATCATTTTTAAGAGTACCCACTGTTAGGTATGTAAATATTTTAATTATACACGTTTTCGATTTTTTTGCAAATGGTTATTTCTTTTCACTATTATCTAAAAGCAATTTATCCATCTCTGGCAGAAATGATAGTATTTTTTCCATACACATTTTGATACATTCAATATACTCTATATATATATTTTTTATAAATATACATATATAGAAGAGAACAACTTAAGTTTTAAGAAAGTAAGGCAATGATGAAGGAACACGATAATAACGTTTCAATAGGAAAAGTTGTATCGAAAAATGAATCATTCATTTGCATATCATTTCAAGTTTAGATATTCAAGCGACAAAAGAAAACAAACTCTATAGATCTAAGATTATTAAAACACGGATTACACTTTTTTAAATGTATAAATGAATATCAAGTTGATAGAAATTAATTACGAATTTTGAATTCATTATGTATAACTGATAAAAATGAGACCTTATTTTCCGTAAGATTATTATTATACGATGTATAACCGTATACATTGCATGTTTCATGCAAATAACATATAAAAAAATGACAGGATCAACATGCTAGAAGATGTGATTAAAGGCTATGCACTGAGGGGAAGGTAAGAAGAACGGAAGAAAAGTTTTTTCTCCTCTTAGAGTCCTATCATCAGTCTCCTTCTCGGGATAGAACTTCTGTAATAGTTATTATCTTATTTACTGTTGAGTTGAGCGAATGTATCTCGATCTCATTGGTTCAGCTGCAAATTAATGATTGAATATGAGTTATTTTTATAAATATCTTGATGAAATAGACTACCAGCTGTAAGATTAAAAACACCTTTGTCGTAGTGATTGCCCAATATTTGTGTTGATGTGTAGATCGTATATACTATTCGAAGATAGTTAACATTCACAATAACTGAACATATTTGATACATTTACACAGATTTATACATTGATTATTTATAAGATTTCTTTTTTTGATTCTTAATTTAGAATTTACAAGATAAATTTATCCAAATTTAAAATGAGCACAAATCATAAATACAAGTTGTTATTTAGCAAATGGTAAAAAAAACAATAGAATCAAAAATTTTTACAGACTTTTATTCGCTATTATTTAACGATTGTACAAAAGTCGTCAACAAAATAAAAAAACTACTCGAAACTTTATCATAAACCTAATAATCAAATGTGAGAAAAATTAAAGTCGACTTAATGTAAGAAAGAAAATTCATCGAAAACGATTTGATGAATTTAACGATCATAATACGATGACAACAACAAAATGAAAGGGCTATCAAACTACCTTGAACTTAATAAGGCTGGTGTCTTTGAAACTGTTTGGTTCCCTGACCTGGTCCATTTCGTGGTTTTCCGGGCATTCCATAGCCAAGATTCTCGTATCCTTCAAAGCCAGTGTATTCAAAATTGTACATGTCATAACCATCATAACCATTATAGTCAGTCGTTGGTAGATATCCATGGTATCCTAGAATTATTTATTCCATTTTCAAGTTGCTAATAGCAATAAATATTAACTCATAACATGCTGTAAAAGTAGATTGTCTTAAAATTGTCAAAATTTTGATGCAAAGTAATCAAACACAAATTGATTTTTTGTAAATGATTGTTTTTATTAATAAACATAAATAAGTTCATGCTTATTTAGAAAATTTGTATATCGATTAGAAGCAATGACGGGGATGCCAAGCACTCTATCGTACAAAATTAATTTCAATTTTTTGTACAGTTTTTTTTTCAATTTCATTTCATGCCAATCAAATATTACAACAAAAAAGATAGAAAGAAATAATGCTTTTATCAAAGATCGTTTTCAAAACAGGTTTTGTAAAATCTAACTGAGTGAACTTTATATAAGCTGCATTATTATAATTAAACTTAATTAGATGGTAAAATGTAGAAAAATCTCCGAGATTTTAACATGATTATAACAACACCCAAACTTCCACGAGGTTTCTGTGCAAAATTGATTCTCATTCAACGTTATTTTAAGATAATCATACTTTTATCAAATCATTGGCCATGGCATTGGGTTGGCATAAAAAAAAGGTGCTTTACCGCCACCGTATCCATAGCCTCCATAGGGAGTGTTCCAAAAAGCTTGGCGCTGATCTTGGTTGACTTTGACTTTCTTAACATCGATCTCCTTGCCATTGATCGTCTGCTTGGGAGTTCTCAATAGCTTATAGACAACTTCCTTAGAATCGAATGTAACAAAGCAGTAACTTCTGCGTTGATTTTTTGTCTTGTCGAAAGGTGCCTGCACCTCGACGATTGTTCCATACTGGCCAAAATAGTTCTTGATATCTTCATCAGAGATCTCGGGAGTCAGACCACCAACAAAGATTTTACCATGTTGAGCTTTCTTACTTACTCTCTTTGGGTCAACCTAAGAATTATAAGTGACATTAATTATTGGTCATTAGAGATAAGTCACAAGGAATTATAACAGCGATACTAATGATTTTACACTAGTGATAAGCTAGAACGCAGAAGAAAGGCAAAGTCAGTAATTTAATAATAATATTTTTTGCTTGGAAGCTGTCCAAACAAGAAGAAAAGCTCATGACTATGAATCACATATATTTAACATACAAACAAGCTTCTTATCTCTCTGCGAATGGGGCAACAAAGTTGTCAGTGGTCTAAAGCGTATCAAATAATGTCTCAGACTCCAGATGAGAAGTGGGAAAAACACAAAAAAAGTAAGTCGATCAAAACTATGTACGATGCTCACCTTTCTCTTGTTGATGTAGTGATCTCCACTGGAGAGCAGTTTATCGATGGCTTTTGGGTTGTTGAAGACCATGAAGGCGAAGCCTCGGGAGATACCGGTGTATGGGTCGATCTTGATGCTGACGCTCTCGATCTCGCCGAACTTGGTGAAGTACTCTTTGAGCTCGTTCTCGGTGGTGTTGCGCGTCAAACCGCCCACGAAGAGCTTCCTCTCGTCGTCCTTGCCGGGGATGCCAGCCGTGGCCTGTTGCGGCTTGTTGGCCTCGCCACCCTGTTGCTGTTGAGCAGCGGGCTGCTGTTGGGCATTGGCATTGGTGTTGCCGCTGTTCTCGCTGCTGTTGGTATTGGTTTTGCTAGCCTCATTGTTAACTTTGGCGGCGTCGCTGTTGTTAGCAGCACCAGCACCAGTAGCAGCGCTGGAACTCGTGTCGTTGTTGGCTGCAGCTGCCGAGGAGGCATTGCTGCTGGCCTGTTGTTCGGCATTGTTGGCCTGTGGCGGGCTGCTGCTCTGCGGCTGCTGCTCGGTATTGGTAGCGGCGGACGCTCCGGTGCTCTCTTGGTTATCAGCCATGACTTTGTTCTGGGAGGGAATCGTGGCACACGAGGATTAATTAAATATTATTTTTGAGTAAAACAATATATATCACACCGACTCACTTAATAAGTATAAAAAAAAACTCGATAGGGACCAGGCGCGCAATACAACGCGTCTCGCTCGTGTTCGAATGGAGCGTCTTATAATATATAAAATATATATAACTACGTGGTGCTTTGGTCTATATGTTATACGGAGCCACGGCACAGCAGCGCACACGTCGTCTCGTATTCTACAATATCTTAGCGCTGCTCGCGCTCGCTTTCTTTCTTCTATCTGTGCCCTACTATCTCCGTCTCTCTCTTTCATCGACACAGACACATACTCTCTCTCTCATACACACACTTGCGCAAAAATACAAGTACATATATACTACCGTCGTCGTCGTCGTAGTAGTCGGTCTGTTCGGTTCTTCTGGCAAAAAAAAAAAAAAAGCAATGGCCGCGCGCAGATTTCTCACAGGCGCGACGACGTCGTTGTTACATTACACACATAGAGCTGCGAATATAATGTGCGCTATCGAGGCAAGGCACGCACGGCACAGACGAACACACACGACGACGAAATCGGAGTCACATTATTATATTTTATTAGATGGATGAAAACACGCACACATGCTTTAGAGACGACGACGACGACGTCGCCGAGCCGTGCCGAGCTATATAAAACCGCACACGTTCGGAGTCGCCGTGTTATCGAATTTTTTTCGAAAACGCGTACCGTACGTTTGTTACTCCCGGTTTTGAGGAATGTAGCCGGATAATAGCTGCAACGTAAAATAAAAGAAATTGGCATAATTACCTGTTTATTTATTGTGTTTTAAACGTTAAGAGTAAAATCTATAGGTTGCGGTATTCCTCTCCGTCTATTTCTAATAACACAGTTATAGTAGAGTACAGTTTAGGCTAGGAGCGAGAGAACGACGACGAAACACACACAAAGAGAGGAGGCCAGAATTAAAAAAAAAAAATTCCGGTACACTACTGCTCTGTTTTGGGACGATTATATATATGTATCGTATATAATGTATATACTAAACATATATATATATATAAATCTTAATATATATATATGATCGTGTGCACACCACACGAGATGACGACGACGACAAGGAGGACTAACTATATGCTCTTGTCGCTTCGCTCACTTTCTGCCTGCCTCTCTGCCTCGCTATACTACTCTACTCTGTCTCGCTCTCTTTCCGTCTCTGTCTTTCGCTCGCGCTCGGCACTCGGCAATTTCGGAGCAGCAGCACGGCAAATCTCGCGTACACGCACACACATAGACACGTATACGCACACTTGTACGAAGACACGTATGTGTGTAACGTTGCGAATATTCGGCGATGACGACGATGTGCGAGCAATGCGTTATAGCGGAGAGAAAGAGAGAAGAGAGAAGTCGGAGTCGGTCGGAGTCGATCGCACGAGAGGGGAGCATATAAGACTTCCCTTCGTTATATATTTATTTATTTGTGTGCGTGTGTGTTTGTCGGGGCATTGCATATTATATATAGGAGCGGTGCGATGCTACTGCTGCTGCCGATGTGGTGTTGGCCCGCTGCAAACTCTTCTGAGCGCAATATTATTGCACACACATGCATGCTACACGGAAACGGCGATGCGCCGCGCCGAACATTACCGTAACAACATATAGATATAGTAATAACACGCGTATGAATCGCATAAGCGGTAAAACGCGGCGGTGGCATCGATAATGGTACCGAGTGGCGGCTCCTCTACGCCATCTGGAACTTTTTTTTTCGCCCGTACCGACGCCTTTTGCGCTCGTGGGCCGTGGCTCGCGCGTGTTGGTATAAAAATATATAATAATAATGATAACAATATAATGTGCAGAGCTGCGCGCGAGGCACAGCCGTTTTTAACGTTTCTCTCGGAAAGCAGCTGCAGCAGCAGCAAGAAAGAGAAAGAAGAACCGGCGTCAGCGTGGCCGGCGACCGTAGAGTAGTGCGCTGGGCTCGTGCCAATGCGCGCGCGTTTTTGCAGTGGTGGGTGGGGTGCGTCGAGTCTGTGTGCGTGTGTGCGCGTGTGTGCGTTCGCCGATGTGCGATGTGCACCACCGGCCGCGCACATGTTCCAAGACTGTCACGGATCGACGGGGGTTATAAGATATCGAACGCGAGCTTCAATGCAATCGATTTTTAAACGAGCTTTTCGAGTAACGATTCTACAATCTTTTCATCGAGTGGCTCTCTCCGCCTTCGAGATTTCCAGATCTGGCTGTCGTGTAGTAAAATCGGAGCAAATCTCGCGACACGTGGTGGATCGCGAGCCGTCACAATACGACTCGCGGCACACTCGGCCAAGCCCGCGATTGTAAGTTTCAATAAGTGTATAATGATGTACGTAAAAGGCACCGCCTGCCGCCAGTGCGAGCCCGCGCAAAATTCGCGGTATCGCCGCCGACCGTCGTCGTCGTCGTCGATTGATTTCACTAAAGGACCGCAGAGCAGCACCACCATCCAATTCGCAAATTTTCTTTCCTAGCTCCGAAAATGTAGAAAGAGAGAGAGAGAGAGAGCCGAAAGGAGGGCGATGTTGCTGCTGTGCACATGCTGTTTCTATGCTCGCGTTACCGAATCCGTAAGTCGAGAGAAAACCGGAAACGGCCGAGCCCGACTCGATTTGTACATGGCTTCGGTTACATTATTTTTATTTGTATTGTAATAGGTAGAAGGCATTGTGTGCACAGTAAAAGATGCGTTTCCCCCGGTATCTAATATATAGGTCACTGTCAAGCATCTAAAGCATATGTATATCGTTTGCCCCATTAATCAAGTCGAGATACTGGCCTAATTTCGCTGTCATCGTATATAATTTCGAATTCATTAAGCCGTATATTTATTCCGTACGAGATGAGATAACGCGAAAGTTGCTCCGCAGAGCCACGTGTATGCGATATAAGCCGAGTCGCTGCGAGAATCATTGCTCCGTGCA